AAAAAAAAAATTGTTATAGATCAAAAGAGAAATCAATTTTATAAAACTGCTCTTCTGAAATTGCAACAATCTTGTACAGTCAGGACTGATAAAATGGAGTAATCAGACATTTTATATGTCCATAAATGTAAAAATCATCTACTTGAACATTATATGCAATACATTCACACAAAAAAGCAAATACTGTAGCCTTATTTGACAATACTGAACTCATAAATACTCATGATTCACTCTGTCCAGGGGCCTAAGGACTAGGGGTGCTGCTGTGATACAGAAAAACATAGTGAATACCTCCTCTATTTAAAAATGTCACTTGAGAATGTCTCTTCTAACATAAAGGCAAATACGAAGAGCTACGGAGCTATGACTGTACCTCTGTCACGTTCTATGGGAAAAACACCAGACTCCACAAATTCGGAATCATGACAACACTTGGAACTAATTATTTGGTTCATCCGTAGTTTATACCTCAATTGACCTCACATGTACCCTACACACCTTACAAAGAGGAGGTATGTTTAACTCTAGGAAAGCGCTCACTGTGTAATATGCATTCTGGATCTGTTTCTTTCTCCCAAACAGCGACACCGATGGTTAACACCTTGGTGGTAGCACCACTATTTCTAGTAAGTAGATTATTGTGGAGTGTGCCACTTTAAAGCTGCAATACAAAATAATACTTTGCGGTTCACTTGCTAATTCCACAGGTAATCTTTTTTTGAAAAGCAAGTAAATAATAAAGTTAAGTGCCATATTTGTTTAGAAAATGCATTTTACTGTATCAGTGAAGTAACGTCAGAAATTCATTACAGTTAGTGGATTTCATAGCGTTGTGCCATATTATTGCCGTTTTGTGGAAAGACTGTCTATTTATGCCCCCTCACTTCAGATTCATTTTCTAATTAAAATGGATTTATAGATGGTATACTTTGGGACTAAATATTACTGGAAAATATCAGTTTCCAAGCTCTCTCTTCTAGGGCAATATATTAAATATGTACAACCACTGTAAAGTTTTTTGTGTTTAATTTTATTTGTAGGGTCATTGTTATGACTTGCAAAAGGGGACTGATTGTAGAATCTAGGGGTTCTGACCTTGGTAACTTCATCCAACCTGTAACATGGCTTTCAAAGTTATGGTCATTCTTTAGTAAACGGTAAACCATCAAACTTTTCCTGTGATGTGAATACTTAGAGTAACAGCATTTTCCTTCAGAAACCTAAGCTTTTATTCTTTATAATAAAATAATTTAATATTCACAATAATTTCATCATCGCTATATCTTAAGATACTCTCATCCCTGGTGTCTTTTAAAAATGATCTTATGTTACATATATCATGTAAGAAGAAATAAAGCTTGGTGATTTCTTTTTTTTTTTTTTTTTTGGCTTCATTTATTTGAGCTGAAATGGCTATGGAGAAAGATTTCATTGAAGAATTAGTTATTTGGGGGATTAATCTCCTACATACCAACATGTGACATGTGTTAGAATAGGTTTTAGAACTTTTTAAAACTATAACGTGTATTCTAGACTATCAACTGAGGGATATTTTCAGATGGAAAGCATGTAAAATGCCCTTGACCACAGGAACCCTGTCTCTGTTGTACTAAGTCACTGACCAGGACACCAAATTAATTATGAGCACTTCCCGCTCTTATGCTCTTAGGTGGTAGGACTTTGTGTCCTTTCTGATGCTATTAGACTTTGTGTCCCACTCTTATGCTATTAGGTGGTAGGACTTTGTGTCTTTTCTGATGCACCCTCTTACAAATTTTGGCTTGGGACAGTGAAAGGAAGAGACGCTGTATTGCTATGCAATCCCTTGAGTGAACTGTGCTGTCATTTTGAAGGGAATTACTTCCCACAGAGGATCTAACATTTAGCTACAACTAAAGAAGCCATATGGTATATTTATTGTACTATGTTATTAAATTGTTTCTCATTAGAAAAGCTGAGTTTATCATGGGACAAACTTCTCCAACCCCACTGGTAACAAGGAAGAGTTTGTTTTTTTCTTTTTTTACATTTCAATAGCTCCTTCATTCTTTAGAGATGGAGTATATAGTTTAACTTTATCATTACAGTTTATTTTTGCTTTCAAATTGCAGGATTTAGCAAAACAATTTTATATTAGTTGGAGACAAGGAGAAAAGTATTGTTTTATGAAGGCACACCCATGCTGAACTGACAGGGAGGGGAAGCAGAGCTGCACAGCCAGTTATAATACAAGGCTCATTCCTGAAACCTGAATGTCATGCGAGCAGAAAATCTAGATATGGGTTATACTTGGAAGAGATGATCTGAAGGCAATATTATTTGCTTTTTTTTTATCAAAAAAGAAAAAAAAATGCATCTTTGTAAATGTGGATTGACTGGTATTGAAACAGGGAACAGAACGCTTGTATTGCAGCCTTAAAGAATCACATATTCACTGCAATATTCGTTTTTGTAAACTACAGCCTGCAACCTAGCAGACCATGACTGAATGCTTTTGAAAAGTTGTAGATTACAAACATGAAATCACAATTAATATCCTCTAAAAGTAATTTCAGAGCTTTCACGTCTTAAAAAAAGGACAATGTGTACTGCTTCACAAGGTAATGTAGCTAATCAAAAAAGAGTCGAATTAAAGTATTTACATAATGAGCAATTCTACAGAAGGCGATCGCTCTCCCATGTAAGCACTGCTGATTATATCCCACGCTGCTTTTAACAAACTGTACCAGATTGGATCCAGCCATCAGCACTTTCAGAGAATCCTTAAAAGCCTTTTATGGGTCTTTAAATTTATTGTAGGATGGCATTCTTCAGGTAGAATATGCTGGTGAACGAGGACAGTGTCAACACAAGGTACCAGCAGGAGAAAAGAACATCAGCGCTCCCGGTAATTCCATACTGGGCTGTACTTGGAGCTGGAAAGAAATGGAAAAGATTAAATCAAAATCCAATTTGTGTCTTTCAGGATCTCGACAGTAATCCAAAGGCAGCTGGATGTGCTGGGGAGAGCACTGGCATTGCTGGGGATTTGGGTGCACATCTGATTCTGTCTGTAACAATGGGTGGCCCATCTGACTAACTGCCCTGAGCTTCAGTTTTTTCAAGGGCAAAGTAAAAATATTAGGAATGATCTAATCCACCTCTCAGGGCTGTGGTAAGAATGGCCACTGATGCACACACAGCACCTTGTACCAGGTTAGACACACGCCAAGTACTTGACCAACAGCCCCTGACATCATGAGTCCTCTCTAAGTGCTGTAAATATTGGTACTAGTGGTGCCAGTGGACAATATTCATCTGTGCGTGGGTTTGTAGATCCTTTTCACGGGTTACGTTACGTACTGAACTAAATGCAAGGAAAAGAAAAAAGAGATTCTCCCTGAAAGGTCTTTTTTTTGGTGGGGAAAGATATTTCAACAATTCTAATACAATCCTAGGAGTATTAGGTTTCTCTATGTGCATTTATGTCTGCCTGGGCCAGGGAGGGATGACTTAACAGAGAGCTTTACCCAAGGGACTGTCATTTGGGCAAAGAAAACAACATATTCCAAGGAGGAGGCAGGCTGTCTACTGGGGTCTAAAGCAGATTCTTTTTGTAGGACTGTCAAGGTTGAGGCCTGAAGCAGAGAGAATTGACACGGGAGCTCTAGACTCTAGATTCTGGAGACTTGATACCGGGTCCCTCCAGAGATAGAGTGACTTCTCTCGCAGTGAAAAGGGGGTTAGGTTTTTATCCTGAAGGAGGTTTTGAAGAAATCTGAAATTGTCCAATGTCTGACTCCATTTTTCCCTTAGGAAGATCACAGTTTTAGCCACGGAGAAGCTCATGTGGTACTTGGAACACAGTCGTGTGGAATTGTCACTAAATTTCTAAAGATTCATCAAGTTTGGGACGTGGGCGGAGTCTACCCAGTGCCCTCCACTTCATTTCACAAAAGGATAGTGTCCTACTTGCGTGTGAATTATAAATACTGTGTTTCAGAAATTGCATTGTCACCAGCATGCTTGGACTTGCTGGAGACAGATTCTCATTTGCCATAATAATAATCATCGTAATAAAAATGAAAAAAAATTCCACCTACATACTTTTAACTACTTTTTCTTAATGAAACCTGGATTTCAAGCACTGTTTCCTAGTAAGACTTGAATAATGTAGTACAGAAATAAACTATTTCATCCTTAAATCCATAACTCAAACCCAAGAGCAGCTTTAGTCACACAGAGTTTGAATTACCAGCAGGTAGTTTTTAATGAAACTTTCACAAATGACTGTATTGCTATGAACAGGAAGAATAAATTGTGTTGTTTACACCTCTAAGAAATTAAAGGGGATGAAAGATGCCTTGGGCCCTGCCAGTGGGGCACTTCCTTGACAGTGCAGTGATTGAGTCCAGGTGAGCGGGATTCAAGTGCTGAGGTTACTTCTCTTTAATACACAGAAAAACCAACTATTTAATGCATCTATAAAATCACAAATTTATTTTATGTAAAATGAAAAGATGATGAAGAAAAAAGTCTATTGCTGAACACATAGCTTTTCCATTTTTGATAAACAAAAGTCTAATTTAAAACCATGGAACTACTTATTTTTTCTTGTTCAACACCTAGAAGAACATTCTAAATATAAATAAATAATTTAATTGGCATTTGACCTCAGGAACAGCTGTGTCAGAGTTGTTTTTTAAGAATTAAAAAGTGTAATGAAACTAGCATAATAGTACAGGATCAATAATAAGCAAAGCATATAAAATGATTCATGAATTAGAAAGACATTTTAGAATCTAAGTATAGAATGCAAAGGTTAGTTATTTTTCTTGTCATGACAAATTAAGTAGTAGATTAAGTGGGCAGAATGTTAAGGTCCCTCAAATATCCTTATCTATCCTTTAAAATGCATTTTTGGGTAATCTTTCTTGAATGTCCTCTCCTTTTCCAATAAGCTGAGCTGATTAACTCTTGTGTTTCATTGGATCATGTAATATATATTCCACTATTATACAACTCTCACCACATTGCAAATATTTGTTTATAGGCTACTTCCCCTAACAGGTTGTAAACTCCCAGGTCATGTCTGATTTATCTAATAGATTATTATCTATTTATTATTTGTTTACAATCTACTCCCCCTACCAGGTTGTAAACTCTCCCAGGTCATGTCTGATTTATCTCTGTGTTTTCAGACACAAAGTCTGGTATAAGAAGATGCTCAAGAAATGTCTAAGACTAATCAGGGGTGTCCAACCTTTTATTTTTTCTGCTGTACTTCTGAAGAATAAGAGTTGTCTCAGGCTACACAAATACAAAAAGAAAAGCTAATTAGCAAAAAAAAAAAAAAAAAAAAAAAAAATTCCATGAATTGTGATATCCAACACCACAGATTAGCAAAAAGTTCCTCACAAATGTAGCCCCTGGGTTGCAAGTTGGTCACTTTACATTTAAGTGAATGATTCAATCAAATAAATGAATCATTCATAATTGAAATAAATATTTCTTTCCTATAAAACGGTGGTGTTTTCTGAGGCAAACACATGCTTGTTGGCTAGGTGATATACTACAGGAATGCACTTTCATTCCTTCAGCCAACTTGATTGGGCTACGTGTCAGGCATCGTGGTAGGTGCTGGGATTGCAGTGGTTAGTTAATAAGGTATGTATGGTCCTTTTGTTACTGAATTTTATGTACTCCCATACATACTCCTATTTGTCAGCTACCTTAACGCATAATAAATGTGTTAGGAAATAAAATAACTATTAGCTATTATTAGAAATTAGCTTCTTGACTCTGCTGCTTTAAAAAGAAAAAAATACCCTTCATAACATAATCTTTAAAAATAAAATCCCTGATGCCAAATTCAGTACTCCTCTCTTGTCCCGCCTTACTTAGTACCTTACAACATCACTGTCAACAGGAAGGTCCGATCTGAGTTTCAACATCTATCCTGCGTCTTGTCTAATCACGATCGTCACCCCGTCACTTACAGCTGCTGCTGCTATTTTTGGTCTTGGCACTTTCCCCTTGTTTTGCTCCAGTTTTTATTTTTAGGCAAGAGCAAATGTAACTGTGAGATATTTAGTTTTGGTACAATACCGATTACTTGCCTAGAAATTTCCTTAAATTACTTAAGCTCTAAACTAGCTTTAAGTCACATTTTTAAGATTTCCATTGTAATCTTCAGTAGAGTTACTTAAGCTACATTAATTCGGCTTCATCAGACAAAACTGGCCTCAACTTAGATTTTCCCAAGGAAGCTTATAGCTTAATGGGAAGTGAGTGATTTACACCCAAATAAAGTCTCATGCAAAAGAGTGTGATTAATGTGACTCAAAATAGAGAACACATTAGTTTACTAAGTCATCATGCATCATTGATTAGATCCGATCAACAGTGTGATCCTATTTCATTACATACTGTGGGAGGAGTTTGCTCAAAAGATCATTTAACCCTCTCAATATCCACCCCTTCCTTATCAGCAGCTGCAGGGGATATCCAGAGAATCAGAGCACACCCCCACCCCTTTTTTGGTATCACTTAATTTTATCTAAACACTGGACAAAAAATAGGGGAGAAAAAAGAGCAGCAGAGGAGATGGATTCTGCATCATCTTTGATTGGTGTGTGTAGAGGAATCAGGCAGGTGTCAGCACAGGTGACATAATCGCATTCCTTCCTGTTATTTCTGGGTAACTAGTCCAGGTCCTAAGATGGGTCCTACCTCATCAGAGACAGAGCACAGACAAATCTATCCTCTCCTACATACCTCGCACCTGTGGCTCCCTGGCTTCCAGGGCAGGGCCTTAGTTTATGTGGACGTTGCTGCTTCTCTGCCTGAGACCCTCTGCGATCTTCTTCCCCTGGACTTGGGGTGCAGGATGCCTGAGGAACACGGCCGTCCTGGGCTGGTGCTAACAGTGTCTTTACAATGTTTTCAGTTTTTTATTTGTTTAGTCAACACCTTCACCATGTCACAGACTTCTAGTATTGTGGACAGATAAACATATCCTGATCTACTTTTCAAGACGCTCTCAGTCTCCTAAAGCTTAATCGATGAGCCCCTACCAAGGTCACTTCCTCTTGGATTTCAGGAAAGGATGTAAAAATTGGACAAATGGCTTCAAGTTCTCTCCAGGAAGCCTCCTCCTTTGTCTTGCTTAGACAGAATCAGGCTAACAAGTGCACATCGGTATTCTCTGGAACTAGAGGTCTAAGCTTGCAGAAAAATCTGTATGTAGATACTTTTTTTTTTTTTTAACATTTTAGATTTTTACTTTTACATTTGATCAAAAACTGATTGCTCATCTTCAGGAAGATTCAACATCTTCAACAGACTGAGCCTTTACAAGCGTACAATTTTAAAATAATTATTTTCACAGAGCATCTATTTTGTGGTATAAACAAGGAGCAGGGGCAGAGAAATGACGCCATTCCTTTCTCTTTTTGACTGGTGGGGTTTCCCTGCCAGCTTGTTCCGAGCTACTATGAAGCCATTTCTCTGGCAGATCACCGTCCTTGAGCCTTACTCTGCCGGCTGCAGAGCCATTTTGCCGCAGTTCACGGTGTATCATCCCATTTATTCGGCATCAATTACATTAGGAATTCTAAACATATGTTTCTCTCGGTTACTCCCCACATTCAGGAATCTGCCTATTTGTACACGCTTTTATCTTTTATCTGCAGAGTCAGATGAACCCTCCAAGACTATTACCTCTAATTTGAGGTAAGGAGAATAAGGAAGCAATCATCCGAATAGAAACAAATTCCACGGCCTTTCCGTCCTTCCTAGTTGTTAACATAAAGTCTCCAAGCTTGAGTCATTCATCAGTGTTTTCTATGTGTGGTGGATTTTTTGTTTACTCTATTTCTAGGAAATCAGAAGTAATTTACATGAATATATAGTAGCTCTGTTTGGAAGTGTGTTG